ATGCACGTAAAATGCAAAATGAGAATCTAGCTTCAAATTACTAAGTTGGCCTTAGTATCTATCAAGTTTGCCATCTATATATTATTTTTGAAATAATATTATTTATTTTTTATTATTTTATAATATATATTTCTAGTTCTGCGGCCTTAGTTAAAGGAGTATATAGATGTATAAGTTAGGCAGTCAAAACATATTTTTTAAACAAATTATAAGATGTAATAAATATTTTGATTTGATTTTTTATAGTGAAAAAATCGCATGTTGTTTAATTGTAATTAATTAGTGCAAGAAACTGGTGTAAAATCTAAAATTTAATCGAAAACTCTCCAATTCCAATTATTTTAATCTTCATTATAGCAAATTTCATTTATTCATTCATACCTGGAATTCCCGTTTATTTTTTTATCTATTTAACTATTTAAATTTTTTTATTACACTACATATTTTCAAGTATACGCTTATCAATACTTTTCCTACTACAACTTTTCATTAACATAAATAATACAAATTTTCAGATCTATTCTTTGTCTTCTAATTGCCCCTTTGCTGAAATTTGCAGCTGCTTGATTTCTCTCAGTGTACACCCACTGTCAGCCAGCTTCACATTATGACAGCCATTTTCTGTACAAGCACGCCCACATAAAAGAGGCAGTTGCCTAATACTTTTTATAGGCCACGCATTACCGATAAGAAACTCTTTCGCATAGAGATTCGTATAATATTAAAATGGGGGGTAAAGCAGCCAATGGGAGAAGCAAAGCAAAGGCGGAAGCTGTCGAACTCTGCTAGTGGAACACGGACTACGGACAGGGAAAGTGGGCAAGAGGGCGGAGGCAGCTGTCGGCCGTATTTTTGGGTTAAAATTTATGCGCAACGCATGCAGATGAGGGTCCCATGGCATGGAGTGGAATATATATAATTTCAGCGTGTGTGTCTCGATGTGTCGGAAGTATGAGATATTTCCGTTTGAACTTAAAGTTGACTTGGGCTTTACGACTCAGGCATCAGCAGATGGATGTAGAAAAGAAATATATCAATATATACACACAATATATAGTAGAGGAGTGGGTGGGTTACCACTCGCCATCGCCATCGCCATCTAATCTAATATCCAGCTGTTGCCACGTACCCTTAGCTTCAATTACAGCGCGTCAACAAAGCCATTAGAAGAGGGTTATGGAAGGTTATATACTATAACTGAAGCCCACACCCGATTAGACAAATTTCTACACCTTAATTGCTTGGAAAACAATCAAAAATATGTCTCTCATATGCTGGTCTCTCACGGTGCTCGATTCGGGCTAGGGTTAAGCGCAGTTCAAGTGGTCAGCGCTCGATCTAACCCTTAAGCGTGTGTCCATGTGAGGAGGGCGCCAACTGTTCGTGCTTGTAATTTGAATTTAATAGGAATATTATTTGTTTGTTTGCCTTGTCCAGCCACGAACCGACAACGGAAGTCCACAATTTGCCCAAACTCAAGGGTTAAATTTCCAAATAAAAAAACAAATGAACAGCTAGCTGGTTTGTCTTGCTGTCCTGCTTATTGTTTCGTGCCATGTGATCTATTGTCAGTTGTGTTTGGATAGAGCATGTGAGTAGGGTAGAAGGGTTCTGATAGGGTTTCACATTTGCTCAGCTAGGCAATTAAAGGGTTAAGTGTGCGTGTGTGTGTGTGTGTGAGTGTGGGTGTCTAATGGCCTCAGTGAGTGATGGGTTCGAACTAGGCATAGGGGCTGAATTGCTGATGAATGTGCAGTTATAATTTGAAATTTATAAGGCTGTTATCACATTAATAACAATTGGTAGACGATTCGAAAACGAGAAGATATAGGTATAGAACAGAAGATATATTGGAAGAAAGTAAATCTCAATACAAAAATTAAAATAAGACTTAAAGAGAGAGATTCCGTTCTTTAATTTCAAAACGTAGTCATGAAAAATTATTATTTATTTTCCCCTCAGTTGCCGAACTAAAAATTTTATTTCCAGCCATTCCATATTTTCTTCTGACTCATAGAACCTTCTTCCTTTTTTATAACCTTTACAGCCCTGATCTAAAAAACTAACAAAATTAAGCTGCTTCCTTGAAACCCCTACCTATAACACCTTGAAAGTCCCCTCAGTTTGCATGTTGTGCTACACTTTTTGGGCTTAATATCTGTTTTCCTTCATTTGGGCCAGCCCGTGGGGCACAAATTGAAGAGTCATAAGTCAATAGCGAACCCTTTCCGCCTGTCAAATGGCCACCAGACAGACAGCTCGACAGACAGCCTGAGCGGCAATCAAAAACATGGCGTTGCCAGCAATTTAAATAAAATGCCGCAACAAACACGCCACCTGGCGACCGATGTAGAAATTTTGATTAATAAAATGACGCCGACAACGACTCGAGACGACCCGTTAAATGCCTTCGCGTGACAAACGCAAACTGTCAGCCCCCTCCAATCAGCTCCCACTTCTTCCCTCCCCCTTTCGGCTAGTTGACTGTAAACGGAACCAATACATTTGTGAGCGTAACATGCCATAAATCAAGCGATACGTTAACTTGATGATTTCGCGTTATAAACAGGCAACTTTTTATGCCACGGCCCGGCAAAGGTCTGAACAAAAAACTAAAAGAATTAAGCAACTACTTTTAAGCGAACTTGGCATACCCTACTAGAACACTTCAACTAGACTATTCTATCCCTATTCCACATAAATACCCTATATATATCTATTTTAAAGTCTATAAAAATAATAAAGAATATGATTCGAAAATCATCGTTCGCATATTCGATCGCTCTATGCCTATATATATAAACGGATATACGCAACCTGCACGGATCAACATCAAGATATATACATATATATACCAAGCGGATATCACATTTACCTTCAAAAAAATCGAATACCCAATCCAAGGGCATCGCATACACGAGGCCAAGTTTTCCTGTTTATATATTGGGGTGTACACTTAATAGTGTCCACAAATATACCCATCCACACACGCTCATACACTAACACACATAGTCAGAAGTCGAGTCACATGTGTATTAACGGTTTTTCTAACTGCTTTCGGGCTCCTAATGCGGCCCACATTACAAAATACAAAACCAAAAAGAACTCAAATGCTGGGCACTTTTTGGCCATTAATCAAACTATCTCACGGGAGCATCACACATACACATCAGCAACGAGTGTGTGTGTGTGTGTGTGTCTGTTTGGGGCCAATCTGTATCTTTGTATCTCTTAGCTGCAGATATTTACTTGACTTTTGATAAGCAAACGAAAAAAAGGCAAAAAGAAGAACAGTCATGGCCATTCGTTTTTTAGCATATGCTCCCAGCAGTAAATTAAGATGCCAAAGCAAAGGAAGAAGAAGAAGCTGTACAAAAAACAATCCTAAATAGAGATGCTCTTCTCTCTCTACTCTCACATGCTTCGGCAGCTAACGAGAGCCGGGCCTTTAGGTTGCGACTTTTGTCGTCAGTTGACAGTTTGATTAGAATTTGACTGGAGGCGTTGCAGTGTGGGTACAGTTGTGTTTGCGGCAACTAAAAAGCCAAAAAACTTTGTTAGGAAGTGTCTCTGGACTCGAGGGAAAGCTGATTGGAATAGCTGTAAGCTATCCAAAACTTAAAAGTATGAATAAATAAATTTAAATAAAAATTAAAATGATTGTAAAGTTTCTACATATACCAAAAAGTGGGGTTAAGTTGAATGAATTTTGTTGCTAATTGAAACTAAGATCTTTATAGTTAACTGTATCTAAATATAATATAAATGGAAAATCAATTAAGCTTGAGAATTCCAAGAGTTTTTATGGAATTGAAAGGCATTCTGTAAAATCAATATGTTCAACTCCAACCTTAAAATGCACCCTAACCCCACTTTTTGCAACATTTCCTCTTAAACTGTGCTGCAGTTCAATCCACACATCAAAAAAGATTTCTTCTTGATAAACATCTCCTATTCTTCACCTTTCTCTGGAAGCCAAGTACGTCGAAAATTGAGCAATCGTCTATAGTAGACCCCACGATGATGAAACTGTTTAGATAAAACAAAAACGAACGCTTAAAAAACACGCTGGAGATGCAGAGGGTAAAAAAAGGACACACATTACGTGCGGCTTGTCCGGCGTGCGGGCAAATAAAAAATCACATTAGAAACACACGTTGCCATCAACACTTCAAGCGAAACTCGTCGTGTAATAAATGATCTATGTAATAGACCTATATGTGTGTCCGAAGAGCAAAAGTTTGTCCATAATGCTTTTATCTGCGACAGGCCAAGTGACCAACTGCCCCGCCCCCACGTCTTCTCCTCCAGTCGACAGCGAGGTGTGGCACGGTCGTTCATTTTTTTAGGCAAATTTCGATTGTGTGCATTAGATTAGCAGGCGTTAGGCCTAGGTGTGGGTCTTGTGTGTTGGCCACATTATAAGGGTGTAAATAAAAATATTAACACTAAACCCACATACACACACACACGCTTGCACACACGCACACCCCAATCAGAGAAAGTTACCCCAGCCAAGCGACACTCGAGATTTGCCTCTTCGCCATTTGGGAGCACATGCATTAGCATCTTATTGTTGCGGATTCGATTTGCGCTTTGTTTTTTGTTTTAGGCAAGCTCTTTGCCATTTAAATTGAGTAATCGCTGGGGGCAAAAGTTTTGCCCGTGCCACCAACTCACCCTCCACTGACGCTCTTTTTCGCTGAGTAGGCGCTGCGGCACATTTGATGTAAATGGACTTGAATTGAAAAGAGGGCTAAAGCTTGAACTGAGTATTGGCTCAATTGGTAGCAGCTTTGACAGAAGCAGTGATGAAGTCAGTCGAGAGTGCGTATGTATTCCAATCAGAGCTTTATCAATTCCTGGTGTATGAACAGACGGATGATATTCACTCTTTATCTGGGCATGCTTCAGAAGTGTATAATTCTATTTTAATATTTATATTGTAGAAACAGATGACATATAGTTATTAACTACAATTTGCGATTGATCTGAATGGCACTAAGAATGATTAGTCTGACGGGCTGCTGCTGAAATATAATGCATATTGTCTTTGCATGCAATATATGCTTATCACTTATCACTTAATGCTTAAGCCCAAATATCAAAATCACAAACATATGAACATTTGGTATTATACACAGGCGGACTTCGCCAGCAAGGTTTAGCTCCACTTCTTGTATAGGAACATAAATCTGCTTCTCTCTGTCGCTTATACAGACTTTATTTTCCATTTACAATGACAAGAGGGTACTCCAAATCGAGTCTAAAAAGAAATTTAAGTAATATTATAATATACAAAGATAGCGCAATGGAGTTAATGCATTTGACTTTCTGTTTATAGTAGTCCATGCTGCTTGCATATGAATGCCATTAGGGCCATGTCGCGCAGCTCCAGTGTCACCCGCTGTCGATGCATAGTCATCATATAGGAGTCCTGAAAGCGTTGAGTCAAAAACATCTCTGTAGCCGTTTGCAGCGCCTCCAAGGCGCCAATAGTTATGCGACTGAGAGCTTCACAATGGGTCTTATTTAGCATAATTTCGCGGACAACGCGGCCAAAGGATAGGCGGGGGATCATAAAATTTGGCGAACGCTGCAGTTGGCGGACTTCGCGTCTGAACTTCTGGGCTCGCCGGAAAGGATTCATTTGTTTGCGGCGATTTGGATTCGGTGTTGGTCTTGGTGATGGCTGTGAACTTGGCAGAATCGGTAACAGAGCTTCCCTTGTTGGAGGATTCGCTGGGTATTCAGGATTGATGTCTTCCCCTTCGTTCACATTATTTTGTTGCTTGCGAGTCGTTGAGCAACGCGCCATAGCGCCAGGTCCAAAAGCTGCAGACAAGTCCGATTCAGCTTGAGAATCATCCGAATTTTGAGTATCAGATCGACGCATATTATTAACACATTTTATTGCTTTTTAATTTCAGCACCAAATTACTCTCTACTAAAACAAATTCTAAACTGCTAAAATGCTTTTTTAGTGCTGAAAACGTCTGTAAAATACGATGGAATGAACAGGCGTTCATCCGCTTTATAACCCTTTCCAGCACAGTTGAAGCGTTGTCGTGTGAATACCAATCATATGAAATGTAAACAATGTGATTTTGATGCATGTATGTTTTGTTAAAAAATGATCGCAAAGTCATTCATAATTAATTAAATAAACACATCAAATGAATAACATTGCAATTATAAGTCATTTTAAGTGGTCATATAAAATATTTGTATAATATAATATAACATGCAAAATGTAAGCAAAGTATTTTTTTGCAAATGCAGTGTTGTAAACGACTGAAATCAAATGAATGATATTCCGACGCGTTTATTTTGCGATTCATAATAAATTAAATATACGCGAGCTGCTTCGACAGTCCAAGCCAATATGAGTAAAATATAGCGGTGAATATTTATCAAATATGACAGAGGCTATATTCCAATAAATGCAGTCATCTCTCGTGCCGTGGGTGTCCTTTCAACGGAGCTTTTGCTATTGTAATTGTTGTCCAGTCAGCGTACGCATTCAGTCGATTCTATGCATCTGATAATTCAGCTGAGACCAATATAGCATTAGAAATAGCTGCCTAATCCCCTGGTGTAGATCACCTGAACGCTCACAAATCAAGTGCATTACTTGTCGAAATTGAATCCTTCAGTCGTGCCCTAGTCCCTTGCCAATCCCCTATAGCAATCGCACAATTACGAGCCATGAGCTGGTGAAATTTGGAACGCACGAATGACTTTACCAAAAAGGATTAAAGCCGGCCAAATTAACCGAGAGCCGAGCTCACAATAATTGCTGCTACGTCTGAGTGTTTTTTTAAGCCACCCACACAGACAGGACCCTCCGGGCTCTTGGGTTAAGTAAACAGTTTAACTGAGAGAGAGAGGTTACTTGCAAAATGAAAAAAAAGAAGCGAAACAGAGGAGAAGAGGATAAGAATGTTGAGTCTGCGTCTTGGGACAGCCTTTGTTTGTTCTAATTAAAACGGCGCAGGCGTGGAAAATGCAACGTCATGAGAAATGCAACATGGACGATGTCTAGAGACTATGCTACGCGTACTTAATGCCAGCTAGGTAGCAGGAACTGTATCTGATTTACATTTTTCTTGTTTGCATAATGCAAAATATTTGCCCATTGTCCGCATGTCAGCAAGCAGCAGGCAAGGCAGCTAAGAAAATTCGCAATGCCAGCGTGGTTCGAACCCCGTGACCACCAAGAATGTGGCCTGGTCCATTGCTTTGCATACGATTTTCTACTACTATTCAATGTCCTATCGAAGGCCCTGCGGCGTGTGAACATCTCCCTACTGTTTTGCTACCCGGGCTGTCATCTACTTTTTCCGCACTATTTTAAATGATAATTTTTAGGGAAATGTTTTTTAAATCTTCTGGTTCCTGGACCAAGGTCAAGTGCTTGAGATGTGCCAAAAAATTGGTTTCTTTTTATTTTTTATTTTTACATAGGTAGGCATAATATTTTGATCTTTTGCATATGTTGTTCAGGACCTTGGGGTCAAGTTCTTAAGTGGCGAAAAATTGTGAGAAATGCAATTTATATTTGTGATGAATGTTAGAAAGTTCTTGGAAGTTTTTTATCAAGATCGTTAGCTGATTTTATTTGAGCTGGGTTTGGTGTATTTTAATTTAAATTCTAAAAACCAGGTGAAATAATTGAAATGAGAGATTTTTATTACTTCAAAAAGATGCGAATTCGACTAATCTGATGATATTTGCAGTCTCTCAGGCATTCACTAATCAGTTTTTGAAATGCTTAAGAGAAAAATGGTAAAATAATTTCAATAATAAAAATCTGGACTCTGATCAGATTGGGAAGTTTTCAGTATAGTTCTCTTTGCAAACATTTTGATATGAAATTTGTATATAATTTCTTTTTAAAGCTTGTATAGAAATGAAATATGCCAGAAATACTTTAGTCTAAGGCGCAATATTTGAAAATATTATAGTATTTTTATTTTTATTTTATATTTAGTTAAGGGAATTTCCCACATTTTTATAAGGTTTCTGACTTAAACAGTTTAATTTGATTATTAAGTCAAAAAGGGTATACGTCAGTTTCCACAATATTCTTTTAGTATTATTTTATGAATTTTTAAATAGGTTCAGACAAAAATGACACCCAAACATTCTACAAAGTTCTTCTGCTCCGTTTATACTCTGTAAAGAGTATACATTTGTTTGAATACGCTCGTTTTGAAGCTGCTTGCATTTGAGTGGAATATTTCCCATTTTTTTTTTATAAATATTTTTGCAAGTATTTCTCATATGCATTTTCATAATGTTGCATTTGCTGACCAGTTTTTGTCCCCCTTTTATTTTTTTTGCATAAAGCCGTTTGTTCAACCCCCTTGGCAGCATGCCACATTTGCTATATAAATAACAGACAGGCGAGGCGAGTCGAGTCGCGGCGCGAGGAACGGGGCTGGCCCTTTACTTTGCATTTTGTAGCAAATTTTTGGCATGGAAATTATGAAAATGGGAAATGGGAAGTGGAAAAACATGCAAATGGCGCGCTAAACCGAATGCTAGATGAAAACATTGTTTGGCCAAAGCGCCAGGCGCAGCACACTGACACATAGACACACACACACATACACACAAAAGGGATATGTAAGGATATGCAAGGATATGCATGCATGCAATCAGTCACAAAAATGCCGGCTTTTGTTTGCAGCCTGTGAATAAAGTCCAAGGGATAGAAAATCATCATCAGCAGGAAAATGGTAAATGGAAATGGGAAATGGGAAACAGAAACAGGGGCAGCTCGGGCTTGGGGTCATCGAGAGGTCAGCAACGGGATTTTCGTGCTATTGTTGACAAGGGATGCAACACACACAGACACACACACACACACATATGCACACTCGCTAACATGCAATTTTTGCCTGCTTTTTGGGCAGTTTTCACAATGTTTTTTGTTGACTATTGAAATATCGTTACATTTAATTCATTTTTTTTTTAATTTTTTATCTATGTACATGCAAAGGAGCTGCAACAAGGATGAGGTTAAGGATGCTGCCTGCCAAGCACGCGACGTGTTGCATTGAAACAAACAGCAAAACAACCATGGCACGCGTTGCAACCATTTTTTTAGTGGCACGAACCGCCCTCAAATGATGTTTTTTATTGCCTTACTCTGGCAAAGAGTCCTTTGATTTTAATATGCAGTATGTAACGCTTAGCAGCCTGTGTCTTGACAACCTTGAAGAGTGTTTTGTATCAAATTTAATAGTTGTTCTGTTCTGTTAAGACATATTTATTTGTATGTTTGTCCATCTGATACTCCGCAAAGGATTGAACACATCATACAATTTACATATCTTACAATCTACATATTTTCATAGAAACCATCAAGCCTATTCTCAACAAATGAATAGAAATACCTTAAGATTTTTGATAAACAAACTTATTTAGCGTTTGGTAATTATATGCATTTCCAGATTCATTCAAGAGTATTTGATCTTCGACTTAACGTAATACACAATGTATTATTTTCTTGTTGTTTTTCGCTGCTGCTTCTTTCTGTTTTTTCTTCTTTTTTAATCGGATCTGCATATGGTGTGTAAATTGATATAGCACGTCCCGCTCTACAGGATCATGCTGCTGCTTCGCATATGTGCATTTTATTTCCTTGCGGGCGAAACACGCGCCATTTTGACTTTAACCCCACACGTGTGTGCGTGTGCAAGGGCTGCTTAAGCTGGGGGTGGGTGGAAGCCCAAAAAGGGGTGGCGCATTATGCATAAGCGCAAGGGTTGCTCTATCTCTCTCTCGCTCTCACTCTAGTATATGGGTATACGTACTGCATATGGCAAGGCTTTGTCATGCATATCGAACTGTGAGGGCTGTGTCCATTTAATCTTGCTCCTGGCAGCCATTGGCAATTGTCATCGCTCACTCATCCTGGCCATTGGCCCAGGATCAGGTCATGGCACATTAATTGCACTTTTATGCCGTAATTTTTATTGATTTCTGCCGTGTCGATTGCTTTCGCTTTGCATAATATATAGACGATTTTAATATAGAATTGCCAGCTGTCATCGTTGTTTTTTTCTTCATCTATGTATAATTTTAGAAGAATCGGGGTGGTCAGACTCTTAACATACTTATTATTTATTCTCTTTCTTCAGTTCTATTAGAATTATCATCAAGTTGCGTAGTTAATAGTTTATAAGTAGTTCATAAGTGCTTAACTATCAATAAAAATAAATCTTTAGCTAGTAAAAATATTACAGGTATTTTCTTTATAGTAAGTGGAATTCTAACTTAACTTTCTGTTTTTAAATTCGTTCTTTTCATTTGTAAAGAATTTTACTGTATGTTATGAATATTTAATATCTTGCATAATAATAACATATTTTTATAATATCCTAGTTTTTCTTGCAGCTAGTTCTATGGGAATTCCTCTGTAAAATACGTTCTCACCCCAACTGGAAATTCAGAAATCTGTCATATCAAACAAAACCCGAACTTAAATTCACAGTTAGAACCCCTACAAATGTTGCGTGTTTCGTTGACCGGCTTTGCATGATGCGATGAATTTGTTATAACAATTGCTATTATACCTTGATCCCTGCTCCCCAACCTCTTATGATTGTCCTTCTAGAACTTTGTCAATGTCTTTGGCTGTGACAATAGACGATTTTCGGGGTATTTCTTCTGTGGCATTTCGAAAGATTTCTAACGGTCATTTACTCTAGCCGATTTCTATGCAAAGCAAATGTTAACGTCACTCAACCAAGGGGTTGCTTGTTTCTTGGAGTTTGGGAGACAATCAATGCCAGCATTTAAAAAGTTTTTATCTTTTGTTGCGTAATTTTCAAATATGCCAATGGGAGGTTTGTTATCGAGCATTCGAGTGATTCATTCAAGAATGAACTAAAGAAAAACGAATCAATTTGAAAAGAAAGGCAGGCAGCATATGTCAAATATCTTCAATTTATATCAAAAACTAAAACAGATAATTCATT